GCCCGCGTGTGCAGGGCAGCGACCAGGGGCCCTCAGGGTGCAGGAGGTGGGCAGTTGAGAGCAAGCATCTGCCCCCCGCGGGGTGCCGTGCATGGGCAGCATGTTGGCAGCCTACACCCTACCTTCATCTCACTGGCTTGGACAATTACTGGGATTGAATCAGGGTTCTCTGAGATCATAGTCTATTATACGTTATTAAATTCCATTATTCAAGAAGTTGCTGCTACAATTATAAAACTTCTGAACATCTCCCACAACCCCCCCTCACCTCCCTGACTATGTATTTTCTTCTGTGTTTATCATTTGCTTCTCTGACAGACAGTTTCTTTTTCTTTCCTGTTGGTACTTATTGGGAGAGCTAAGAGCTAATTTGAAAATACATCTTTTAAAGGACAACCAAAGGGAAAGAAAAATGGGATGCGCGAAAAAAAATGAAGGTTCTTAATTAGTCCATTATTTGACACGCACGATTTAACACGGCATGCTTAGCCCTGTGCATTCCCGAAAAGAACAGGGTTCTTTTGTATCCCAAACTTTAACTCCTTCTTATTCATTCTGTCCCTTCTTGTCGCTTCCCATTAGCGGATCGTGACAGCCCTTGCTGGAAGGGCGAGTGAACAGATCACTTCCAAACTGGTGTAAGTGACACTCAAAAGCCTGGCCTGAAGGGGCTTGTGTGATGGCAGCATGCTCCTCAGCCCCTGGAGTCGGGGAAAGTCACTTCAATAATATGTCAGAGTCCACTGTCACATCCTTTCTGCAGCAAGCTGGCATCTCTGCAAGAGGTAGCAGTTGGTCTTCTGGAGGACCTTCTGAGGGATCATATGTCATTTATTAACAATAATAATAATAATGATAATAATGATGATGATGATAGCAACAACAACGGTGATGATGATGTAGCATGTGAATCCACTCTTCCTAGCATTGTGCCCTTTATAGATGGGGCTGGTAAGTGACAGAGCTGGGACATTACTTAAGGTCTGGTGGATTCCAAGTTCAGGCCTGTTTCTGCGGAAGCCCACACACTGGCTTCAAGGAGACTTCAACATTTGATTGTGCATCCAAAGGGTAAAGAAGTGGTCAAGAGTATCCCTTTTACAGCAACTGAAAAGTGTCCTATCTCAAGGGCCTTTTAAATGGCAGCAGAGGAGGAGGAGTAAGTCAGCCAGAGTCTCGCCAACGTGGATAGGTGGTCCTAAGAAAAGAAAAAAAGTGAGGAATTAGGTGCTTGGACCAGGTCAGCTATAGAAATAGGAAATGCTCACAGGCCTGGTCCCTGCAGTCCTCCTGTGTTCCCAAGATCTACCCATGGAACAGATCCTCAGCCTTCAAATGAGATTAACCTAGAAGCAGCAGCAGCAGCAGCAGCAGCAGCAGCAGCAGCAGCAGCAGCAGCAGCAGCAGCAGCAGCAGCAGCAGCAGATTTGAATCTAAATAGTGCTGGAACCAACCCTGGCCAACATCGATGTCTGACTTCGTATTGCTTTGGCCCTTGGGAAAACCAAACTGTTTTTGCTAAGCAAGTTTCAACTTCTTTGCCCAATAAGCTCTGAAATGTCCTGATTATCAAATGGAGAACATGGAATTAGGTGACAGTTAACGAGCTGCAGATCAACACATCAAAGGAGGCCAAAATCACCTGCAAGCCACAGTATCTGGTTGCTGGGACAAGATGCTTGAGACAGTTGGTTTCTAAAGGAAAAGTCCATTTTGGCTCAGGGTTTCCGAGACTTCAGTGTGCGGTCACTTGCCTGTTGCTTAGTGCCTGTAAGTGGCAAGGCAGAACGGATACTTTAGCGGAGAAGAGATCATGTGGTAGAGCTGGGCTGCTTAGCTCAGGACAGCTGAGACATGTGAAAAGGCAGAGAGCCAGGGGCTGACTCCCAGCATCTCTTTCAGGACCCAACGACCTGCCTTCCACCCCATAGGCCCTGCCTCCTAGTGCTTCCATTTCCTTCTTACCACCAGCTGAAGACCATGCCTTCGAGTCATGAGCCCTTGGGGCACATTTAGGGTCTACAAATGCTCACCCTAAGGAAGATTCCATAGCCTTCTAATGCACATCTTTCTAGTCTAGGTTATCCATACCTATTTGGGCCAGGAAGACATGACAGTTGTAAGGCTGAACTCTGAATCAGACTATCTGTATTTAAATCTAGATGCTACTACTTGCAGTGTGTGCTGACTCCTCTGGACCCCAGTTTTATCTTCTGTGAAGTAAGCCTTTTATTTGATTGTTGTGCCAGTGAATGATCTCATAAATATAAAGTCCCTGGCCCATGGGAATCACTTCCTGCACTTCAGTTACTGTCAGTGATGCATGGGTCCAGTGCTCTTGCCTTCTTTCCTGCCGTGCCCCTTGATGACGCCTTGATGCCAACCCATGGACTTCATCCCCAGCCATGCTTCCGGCCCCTTTCAGCCCTCCTGCGCACTAGCCTCCTCACACACCTCATCAGGGATGCTCCAGGTCTTGATTCCTGTCCACCCAATGATGACTCTGAAGCAGTGGTGGCCAGCAACTTATCTTCGTGCCGCTCCCATCACACCGTTGTATCTCTGCTCACCCAGCCAAGCCAGGGTGGTTCCTGGCAGGCCTTCCTGCTCTCCGCTGCTCTGAGCTCCCTTGTTCAGTGTCTGGTGTAGACCGAGGCAAGATCAGGAGATTGTGATTGTAAAGAAAGGAGTTGCAGTGACACATAATTTTGTGCCTCTGGAATGTCAGTGACAGAGATCCAAGTGCATGTGGGTGACAAACAAGCAGGTTTATTTGTTTAAATTATTTTAAGTGTGTAAAGGGGAAGGTACTTAGGAAAAGATCTTACTTCTTTATTGCCTGCTTTAAAAGAAATTGTGTTATTAAGTCTATCTTTCAGAAATCTTTCCATTATTTAAAAGGAAAATCTATCTATCTCTCTCTCTCTCTATCATCTATCTATCTATCTATCTATCTATCTATCTATCTATCTATCTATCATCTATCTATCTATCTACCAATCATCTATCTATTTAAAACTGATGGTGTGTACTTGGAGAACCAGTGGCAGCAACACAAATGAAGGAAGTGAGAATTATATTTAATGAAGCTGGACAGTCATATGGATGTTCGGACTTAAGAAGCAGTGTTTATTTTGTATGAAGTCTTGAAACAGGTTTGCTGGCTCACAGCTTTGGTGTATTTTTCCAGGTGGCAGATGCCATTTTGTGTTTTGCATAAACTCACTCAATTTGCTTGCTCTTTGTACTTATTTCCAAGCAAACCGTTGTTCTCTGCTTTCAGTAGGACCTGAGAACTCCTTGGCACGGGGCGGTGGTGAAGGAGTAGTTGGGGGGTGTTCTGCGGAGATGGGGTGAAGGGCTTGGCTGGAGGTGGACCCTTCACCCAAGGATGGTGCTGGCTTGGGAGTGGACTCTCCCAGCCTCCTCTCCACTCTCCTTGCTTCTTTCCATGGAGGACAATAGGTTCTGGGTGGTCTTACTTCAATTATTGTAATATTCTGCTGATTTTTAATTATTAAGTCCTCTGTGCCTCAGTTTCACCTGAGAAAAAGAGGATTAAAAACTGCACATCTTTGGCTTTGTGAGGATTCAATGAGTGAGTCCCCCTGAGAGATTTAGGGCAGCTTTCTAGCATACAGTAAGTGCTCAAGAGAGTCTTGCTATGACTGCCGTCCGTGGGAGTTTGAGTTTTTCTTGAATTTTCCTGCCAGTCCTGATCATCGTTATGTTCCTTAGGTTTTTGGGCAACTGTTTGTGCTTGGGTGTGCCATATTGTGGACTGAGCCAGGGTTTTTGTACTGAGCTGTGTTTCCACTTTTTTTCTTAATATTTATTTATTTATTTATTTATTGGTGGTATCGGGGATTGGATTCAGGACCCTGTGCTTGCCAGGCAAGCACTTATTCTACTGAGCTATCTCCCTGGTCCCCAATTTTTAATTTTTTATTTTGGGACAAGGTCTCACTCAGCTGCTAAGTTGCCCAGCCTGGATGCACACTTGGGTTCTTCCTTCTTCCCCTTCCCAGGCAGCTGGATCCCAGGTGTCCACTACTACCCTAAACTGCTTCAGGACTGTCTCGCGGAAGCAGAGTGGTGGTAAAACGACAGGTGTTACAGAAGAAGGCGGAAATTCTTGAAACAACATGTCCTATCTATCTGCCCGTGCGCCTGTGTGTCTGTGGATCTAACTCAGTGACACCCTCATCTACATAGCTACTGATGTCTGATGAAGTTATTTTCGTACTATGGCTGCTATGAATCATAGCGCAGTGAGCATGGAATGCAGCTACCTCTTGGATACGCTGATCCCATTTCCTCGCTTTTTCCTTCCCAAAACAAGATTGCTGTGTCACACAGTAGGTCTACTTTTGAACTTTTTCAGGAATCGGCATAATGAAAACTAAAATTTCTGAGCATATTTATTCAGAACTCAATACAATGGAGATCATTCAAAAGGGAAACTGGGGTCAGAATTAAGGCCTTATTTTTTTTTGTCCTAAGCTCAAAATGTAAAGCCCCACATGAAGCAAGATGCAGGAAAGAAAGTTATTGTGAGGTTGCCTTTTATGGGATACTGTGGCATTTGCATATTATAAGACATTCAAATTTTTGTGTGTTTGTCAAATGTCTTTTTGTTTCTTCCTAATCGAAGAAGGTGTAGGAATTAGATCAGGAAATTAAACAAAGCTCTCTTAATACTAACATTGTGTTACTGAAGAGTTGAAGGTGATCTCAGTCACTTTTGCCACATTCACCCAGGGATGGCGAGTGGTCCCTGCTAACAACAGAGTGAAGAGAAAATACCTCCCACTTGAGTCATTGACCCCTAAAGCCAATGTGAGACTTAGAAAGAAACATCATGAAATTCTTTAGTTGTTCTTTGTCATGGAAGTATTTCGCTTCTCCATCAAACTTGAAAGAGAGTTTTGCAGGGTATAGTAGTCTGGGCTGGAATTTGTTTTCATAGAGGACCTGAAGTACTGTGCTCCATGCTCTTGTTGACTTCATGGTTTGTGATTGTTTTGCTGAATTCACGCACCTGCAATATCTAAATGGTAGTGGAATACCCATCTCTGACAAGGTTAAACAAAAAGGGGATACAAAGGAAGGACCATTTTGTATCTGCACATACAAAATAGGATAGATATATAGCTACTGTCTCTTAATTCAGTGAGAGGAAAGATTTGTACTAATAGTGTTTGGACAAGACATCATGCCTGCATCTTGTACTATGAATAACTACTATGAAGACAGCAATATGCAATGTATTAATTATTGAAACTGTCCTACTAATCGGTTTTGAAACTCACTGCTATTTGTTTCTGAATAAAATTAATAAAAAAATATAGAGTATGAAAAATGGTGTCAGCTTTACAAACATTGTCTTTGTCTCTGCAGATCTGTCTTCATCTCTTTCTGCCACTGCTCATCACTCGCAAACGTGAGAAACAGATGGAGCTTGAATCAGAGGAAGAGGTGGAGAGGTGAGGACCTCTCTGGCTGTGGACAAGATCATGTGATAGCCCCTCCTTCTCTCTTGCTCCCATGGCTAGAAATTGATTAGAGAGCAGAGCATTAGGATTTAATCTTTGTTAGCAGTTATGTGGAGGAAAGTCAGATCAAAGAAGAGGCAAAGAGAAAGTGCATGTGAAGGGAAAAAGGAAGAAGTCTGGCGTGGTGGCACATCACGTGCAAGCCTGACAGGAAGGGCCCTGGTTTGATCTCCAGTAGGTGAGAGGAGAAAGAGCAGGGTAGGGGAAAGATGGAGAAAAAGGGACGAAGCTGTGTCATTTATGAAAAACAAGGAAATTGTGTTGCAGCAACAGAGAACTTTATGGTAACATAATAAAGATGGCCAGCTGCCCAGGGAAGGAAAATCTCTCCCTCCCCAGGTAGACTTGTTTCTGGGAAGCGACTGCTCAGCCAGGCTCTTCCTCACCCTCACCTCTTCTGCATCTGCGCTATGGACGATGCCACGCTAAGCTTGATGCCATCCTTTCGTAGATATGCAGCCTCAGAGTCCCTGAGTCACCAAGCCGATTGCTGTCCACGTCAGACTTCTGAGTGAGGAAAGAACATAGGTGCTAAGCCACTGAGCTTTAGGGCCTTGTGTCTTGGACCCCTAGGCATCATCCACGCTAGCTCACACAGACACTGAAGCTGAAAGGAGCTCTAGAAATAGTGACTGTTGCTTCCTGCCTTTGCCTATCAGTTTGTTATTTCCTATTATCTTCTTATCCTTCTACTATCTTGCCAAAAACAGTGAGTGGCAGCCAACTCAGGGTGTTTTTTGTCTTCGAGCTCAGGAGTCCGGTGACCTGGCCTTCCAGTCCTAGGGGAGCGCTTTCCCACTGTGCTGTCTTGGTCTCCAGCTGCAGCTGAGGCATCTACTTCTGACGGCCCACACCCTGACCACAAGGCTGCTGCCTTGTATTTTAGGGCTTTAGTATTGCACACCGCATTTAGTACCAAGTACAGTCATCAGGGTGGATCAGAAAATGGAAGCTTGATGTGCTGTAACAAGGTAGCGCACCTTTTCTCCTCTTGGGACACAGGTAGAGGAAGACTGTGTCCCTGCTTTCCCTTGGCATTTATTTGGGGCCCTGAGGCCAAGTCTTTGCAATCCAGTGTGAGCAGGTGTGTGTGTGTGTGTGTGTGTGTGTGTGTGTGTGTGTGAGTGAAGGTCACTATCTTCCATCTTCCATAGTGATCTCCATGGACATGAGTTCTGTGATCCTTGCGTATGACTACAAGGTGGAGGCCACTCAGCCTATAGCCTGAGTAAGAGATGCCTTTGATGTGTTCTACTCTTCAGAGTTTGGGTGTGTTTATTATGGAAACATACCTACCTGCTCCTGACTAATGTGTCTCATTTCAATGAGGAAGGAATTCAACGTAGGGAAGTAAAAGTTATGCAGCATCATCCATAGGGCTGGGCAGTGAAACCCAAGGGAATATGAAATAATAGAATCCCTCTGAAGCCAAGTTGCCACCTATGATCTGGGCTGTAGCCCTGAAAAGGATGATTTTTAGAACAATGTCCACAGGTTGTATATGACCTGTGCTTGCCATCGGGCAGGACATACACCTTTGCCTGTAGCTATTGACATTGAAAAACATTATTTTGCCCTTACACCTTCCAGGGATTCCAAGAGCGCCTCTTGAAGACAGATGAAATCAAGCACCCTACTGGCAAGGGAGGCTGGGAAATGTAGTTTTCAGGCTTTCAACCTTTGTGTGTGGGAGGGGCTTAGCAGGGCTGAGATGGTACTTACTCCTTTTCAACATAAAGAGGTTTGGCACAAGGGCTTCTTGTCTGTCCTGCAGGAAATTGAAGTAGTCATCCCTCTGTAGCCCATCTTTTTTTTTTAAGCTCTTTGAAAAGAGATCTTAATTAATTCCTTATCTCCAATGCCAGACGATATCAATAAAATGTATCAAATAGATTTGAGTATAATGCCAAAAGAATAATAAAAGATGGAAAGCTTGTCTCCACTTGTTGAAATTAGCTTTCAAGATCTGCGGTCCATGCAAGCTGATACATCTCCCCCAAGAACACCCTAGATCTGTCCCTGCGGAAGTGGTTTTCTTCCTCAGCTTGCTCAGAGTGACTAAGCAGAGCTGCTTGCCCAACAAGTGGCCTTGGACTGGAGCCCCAGGTTCTGTCTACACTGCCAGAAGGAGGAAAATTTGTTAATTATCTGGTTTATCAGATCCATGGACATTGGCAATCACATATATATATATATATATATATATATGTGATATATATATATATATATATATCATTATTAAGTTGATACCTTATATAAGGTCTATATATATTTTATTCTTTTTGTCCAAACACGGTTTAGGCCTGTCTGGGGGTTGGGCGTTGGTGAGCTCCTATTGGGGCAGAACAAAGAACGTTCTAAATCAAGGAGGTGGGGTGTGAATTTGTTCACCAAGCAAAGCCCATGTGTACAGACACAGTGGACAGTCAGGAAAGGAGGAGCAGATCTGGTTTAATTTTGTCTGCAAAAGCACAAAGACTAAATACATCCTCTTGAAATTTATTTTTCTTACGAAGGAATAAAAAGAGTAAAGCTACGGTGCCTGTAGTAAGAATGATGTTAGTGTGACTTAGACTTATTTACAACCATCGAAGAAATGAAAGATACGGATGGTGTCCGAGTTAATCTTCTTATCCTCATGAAGTGGCTACCGGGTCCTGCTGAGGAGTGTGGCGTGCCTAGCAGCAGAATTCCAGGGCGACGTCACAGCTGATGGTGCCCAGCCCTCAGCCTTTCTCTTCCGTCCCCACCCACCCTGAGCTCTGGCTCCGTTGTGCTATAACATTACCAGGATCAAAGTCTCCCCGACAAAATTAAAAGAATGGAGAAAGTGGGTAGAGTATCAAGGTCTACAAAGCCTGTCTCCCTTGGTTACTCAGGATCCTCATTGGTTAATGCATTCTCTTCTACTTTGTACCTAGAATCATGGCTGAAACACAATCATGCGTTTGCTTTGTGTAAAGGGAAGTAGGGCATTGAGCAATCGTCTAATGAACACCATCAAGACGGTCAGTGAATTTGGAAAATTCCACTCTCAAAATAATGACTTTCTCTCTATTCTGTAACAGATTTCCTCTTGGCTTTAATTATCCACAGAGTTGTCTAATTTTCTGATAGTCTTTACTATTCTTGACATCACCTCAGTAGTTTATTCCATTTACTTCATTGGGTTTATTTGGTAAACTTTATTTAAAATGGCTCCTTTTAGCAATCTATTTACTTAACACACACTGGTAAAAGTATCTGGTATTATTGTTAAAATTATTCTAAATCTGGTGATATGATGAAAGAATGTATTATCACTGTTGATTCTTAAGGTTGGTGACTCAGCTCTAGTGTGGTCTTTCCTGTGGTTGCCGCGATCTGAAGGTTTCTTCACTCATGTTTGCCCTGGGCTGCTCAAGAATCTCTCTCTCTCTCTCTCTCTCTCTCTCTCTCTCTCTCTCTCTCTCTC